GGATGTACATGATTTCTAAATAAATAATTAAATCTATCCGGTCAACCCTCGGGCGAATAATTATTACAAACATTCATCCATCAAATTCCTCGACATGTCCGAGGCTTTAAAAACAAATTTAAAACCATACCTAACATTTATCAACATTCATCAAACACATACTCGGCCATAATAGTGGATTAAACTAATTCCTGCAAAACCGAGTTATGCGAATATAATCCAATATATGGCTGCGTTTGAACACATCTTGACAAATAAAGCTGTAAAATTCGAACTTGTACACAACGAATTAAACCAAGCTCTGATACCACTTGTTGGGATCAATGAAGATCTCGTTGTGCACAAATCACGAATTCAATAGCAAAACGTAAACTTATGTGCAGCGGATCTAAAGGTTTGCGTAGAGAACTTATGGCTTAAAATTTATGGCGATCTGGCTGATCTTCTGGATGGCCGTACACAGAATATCAATTAATTGTTGACTGCAAATTGCGTCCTAGGATTGCACGAACAAGATCGGATCGAAAACTGGATCAAACGAGTGCAAAATTGATGAAGACAAGTTGCAGTCCTGGGACCTTGCGGCGGCGAGTGCAGGCGCGTGGGTGGTCGGATGGCTGCGATCTTGGCAGCGTTGGAAATCTTTCGTCGAGACGGTCGTCTGGGTATGCTGCACGTTCGGACCTCTGGTTAGTTCTGTACGACCAAATATATTTCGTCTCACTTTACCCAAAGGTCTTCTACTGTATATCTCAAACACCTCTTAATCTTGTACCAGTGGAACAACAAGAAGAAGATAAAGCTCAAACGAGAACTGAGAGAGAGAAGAGAGGGGTGGGGCTTGATTTCCAATATATGGAATTCTCTTCTCTTCCCATGAGCTTAATGATGTATATATAGAGATACAGTAGGGATCCTTAGGAGATTAGGATTAGGGCTCCTTAATTAATTAAAATACTTTTGGACCAAGCCACTTATTCTAATTAATTAATTATTATTAAACGGGCCACCAACATAATATTATTGCACTCCCTTTTCCTAGCCCAATTTACAATTAAGACTCCAATAATAATTACTCGATTTATCTCTCCATGTTTAAGATATAATGTCTATTATTTAATTGAATTACTGACAATCAAGAATTAATTAATATATTATTATTTCACCGAAGCTAGCACTCGTTCATCACATTATTACTATGCCTAAATTTAATCCACCTGCAGGGTTTAGCATAATAATCCTTCATGAATTCACTCCGGGGACATCGTCAAACTAACGCACATGGTGACCGTAAATATCCTAACAACACATCCTACATGTAGCAATATTACCCAAGACAGCGGGTTTATTGTCCCAGTTCACTAAGCTTCACCCATGTGAACCAAAGTAATAAATACTACACATATATGTCTATTTAATATCTTACGGGTTAAGAGTACACAGTAATTAACCGAGGCTTAGTTCGTTTACGATGATCAGTATAAAACAAACTGCTCCTCTCTGGGATCCTGTTCAATAAATAACTGTACTAGTGCAACTAATCAGTCAAGACAAACTGTACAGTTGACACTACAACCGTTCACGATGGGGTGTTCATGTCCATCTGGGTTGTGAACCACTTATTCTTGTTTCGCGAGTAACTGATAGCATGATCTTCGGTTCGCCCGATGACGACCCACACTATCTAATGCAAAACAACAGAACATAGAACTTGTTTAATCTAACATATTTCTTGTAATAACCCAACTTCTTGTTAATAAAATGATGTATTATCTTTTACTGATTCCGTTCATTTTCAGCGAATAAGTTCGACGTTAAGTCGAAAAGTTTATTCGGTTAATTATTAACCGAGTCAAAATCGATAATTAATTTCCGAACCATTTATTTTATAAATGGACATTATTAATCGGGATTAATTATTAAAAGTTATGAATGTTCGTGAGTAAGTTCGAAGTAGAAATCAAGTGAAGTCATGAACGTATACATGGTGCACTATGCATGTACGCATGCACGCAGCGGTACGCGTAGCCGCGCACGCGTACGCACGCAGCATGCATCCTCGCGCACAACGCGTGACACGCGCGTTATGTATCCCCTAAACACACGCTTATGTTCCATTAAGCCCCATGATCAAGCTAAGCCAACCCAGATCTCAAGTCTTTGTTTGGGCCGTAAGGATTAGTATCTAGGATAACCATGGATGCAAGTTGCCATGGTGACTCACCTAGTAACTTGCACACATGGCGTGACACGAACGCACGGGGATGACTAAGCCCGTGCATGGCCGTCACCTCGGCAATGACTAAGCCAAAATCACCCACACTTCAGCCACGTTTATGCCACTTGTTGTCAAGGGAAGCAATGTCATCAATCACCCCTTTGACCCAATTCTACCACACGGTTTTACCATTCTTTAAATAACCGAGCATGGACGTCTTCTCCGTGCATTTTCATACACTAAATTCGACCAACTTCAGCATATATTCGAGAGAGAAATCAGTAAGGAAAAATAAGAGAAAAATCACATAAAAATAGCTAAGCATTGTGGAAGCAAAGAGGAAGCACTCGGACACCAAAGTCAAGCACGAACATGCACGCACATCTCCGTGCAATCTTTGACCGAACTGAAGGGTATACCCCTATTTATCCTCTTTTTATATAGTTAAGTTTATTTTAAGGAGATCATGTCGAAGTCATGTTGTTCGGTCCAAAAATTTTTAATAAAAATGACCTCGGAGGTGCTATATAAGCCCTCCCGAGTGATTTCAAAATAGAACCGGCAAGTCCCGAGTAATCTATGTATTTTCTGTCATTTTAAGTCAAAACATAACCAATCATGTATGGATTGTCGGAAAAAGTAGTCGGACGGCCGGCGAAATGCCGACTGTGATGCCTACCGCGCACAGCGTGCGCGCAGGCACGCCCGGCAGGCCCAGCGAGTACGCAGGCAGCGTCTGCGCGCCCAGTAACGCGCACGCGTGCCCGGTACTCGACAGTTAAGCCCCTGCGATGCCGCAGTCGTGTGCGTAGACGTGCGCAGTGCATGCTAACACGCACGACAACGCACTTCAGCGTCCGTCCACCTAGTCCACGTACATAGCAACGCGTCACACGCCTGATGCGTAAGTGGGTTTTGACCCCCGACGACAAGAAGGGCCGAGAACCAAGACAACCCGAGAAGGCTGAAAATAGGGCCAAAACGACGCACGCATGGCCTAAGAGACGGGTACGAGCTCGTATGCGAGGCGCACAAGTACACAAGAAAGGGCGCATTCAAGAAGGGCGCGCACACGCGCATTGGCGTAGACGCGCATGGCGCTTGATGGTTTGGCGAAGTGGCGTGCAAGGGGTGGATGTTGGGTGGTCGATGCGCGCGAGAGATTGCTACGGATGGACGGGCGCGTTTCGGGCGCTGGACGATGCGCGGGCGGTGCTGAGCGTGCATAGGCGCGCGATAGACGAGCGAGGTGCGGTACGCAGGACGCTGGGCGTGCAGCATGCACAGAGACGCGCGGGCGATGGGCTGCAACACGTGGGGCGACGCGGGTGATGTCCTAGACCGCGTAGGCATAGGAGTGCTAGGCGACGAGTGCGGGGCGCATGGCGACACGCGCGAGGCACAATTCAAGAATAAGGCGACATGCCTAATCCTCGTAGGAATAGGCAAGGCGCGAATACTAATCCTTGCAGGAATAGGAAAAGCAGTTGAGTGCCGGAATGCGCGTGGGAGATCGGTGACGGGAGTAATCCTCGGAAGATCAGGAAACGTAGCCGGGAGCATATTCCTAGTAGGAATAGGAATAGTGGATATGGGCTCGAAGCACAATCCTACAAGGAATAGGAATGGCGCATGCGGGGCGTGAGACCTTAAGCCTCGAGGCAAGAGGACATACACGCATGGGCAAAGGCGTTGCAGCCCTAGTCCTCGAGGACTAGGGCGAGGCGTGAGGCGGCGCGCGGGTTTGAGACGGCTAGGGCAAGAGGCGGCCAACTTGGAGTGGGGAGCAAGCAAGAGGATTGGAGTGCAAGGCAAGGAAGATCAAGACTATTATAGTAGTATTAGGATTTTATTACCATGTTGCTTTTCATTGAAGAATTAGGAGATCTAATTACCTTAGGCTTAGATTTATTTTATGCACCTATAAATAGGGGTCTCCCCTCATTGTTTTGAGAAGTCTTGGATTTGATGAAATAGAAAAGAATGTTTGTTCGAAACCGTGTGTTAGGATTCGTGAGAGTTCAATCATGCAACCGAATTGGTGAGGCTAAGACCCAAGCCAGTTCAACGATTTAGAGAGGCTAAGACCCGATCTATTTCGAGAGTGTAGCGAGGCTAATACCCGGGAGAACTCAAGTATCATGAGAGAGTTAGGCTAATAACCGAGTCGATCACACCTATGGTCGAGAGCAAGGCCGTGGCGAAGCCGTGATCGAGACAAGTCGAGGGAACGCAACACCCGATCCTTCATCATTGGTGCTTTCATTGAGAGTGATCGATTGGGTGTTCGTGAACTTTTCCTATCCCATTATTTTTATTTTTTGTTCGAATTTTTGAGTCTTTTGTGGTCGAGTTTTTTCGAATTTTTCTCCAAATTTTCGAAAAATTTCGTGAGTCATAAAAAAAAGTGTCATCTAGTCCTTTTGTTTGATTTTTTCGGTTATTACCTTTTGTTGAGGGGCCGAATTTCTTTTGTTTTTCTTTTCTTTTTGGTTCGACTTTGTTCGAATATTTTTTATATAGTCTTAAAAAAAAATATATATGAAGAGAGTCATGTTGATGTTTGAGCCATTGGACGAGATGGATCTCGAGGATCTTGAATATCTCGAAGGTTTGGAGAGGGAATTAACCCCTTGGGAGCAAGAGTATTTGGAGGAGTTGCACGAGCGAAGAGATCTCGAGGAGAAGCTCGAACGACAACTCAAGATCATGGAGCCCGTAATGGCGTTAGATCTACCAAGCTATGTTGAAGATGAGGTCACTGAGTTCATGGTCGAGCGAGTCGGGTGCGAGGATTCACCTTCGTTCGGTGTCTTGTCCATGGACGTTGGGGAGCCCAAGGTAGCCGAGGTCAAGGAAGCAATCTTAGTCGTGGGTGATGGAGGTCATGATGAAGAGACGCACAAGGAGGGTAGTGCGGATGAAGAGGTGTTCGATCTAGAGAGTGTAGTCTTGGTCGAGATCGAAGAAGGTGTGCCCGAGGTTTGGATGGTCGAGGATGAGTCCTTGAGGACAAGGACATTCTCAAAGGGGGCGGGAATGATGCGTAAGTGGGTTTTGACCCCCGACGACAAGAAGAGCCGAGAACCAAGACAACTCGAGAAGGCTGAAAATAGGGCCAAAACGACGCACACATGGCCTAAGAGAAGGGTACGAGCTCGTATGCGAGGCGCACAAGTACACAAGAAAGGGCGCATTCAAGAAGGGCGCGCACACGCGCATTGGCATAGACGCGCATAGCGCTTGATGGTTTGGCGAAGTGGCGCGCAAGGGGTGGATGTTGGGTGGTCGATGCGCGTGAGAGATTGCTACAAATGGACGGGCGCGTATCGGGTGCTGGACGATGCGCGGGCGGTGCTGAGCGTGCATAGGCGCGCGATAGACGAGCGAGGTGTAGTACGCAGGACGCTGGGCGTGCGTAGCATGCACAGAGACGCGCGGGCGATGGGCTGCAACACGTGGGGCGACGCGGGTGATGTACTAGACCGCGTAGGCATAGGAGTGCTAGGCGACGAGTGCGGGGAGCACGGAGACACGCGCGAGGCACAATTCAAGAATAAGGCGGCATGCCTAATCCTCGTAGGAATAGGCAAGGCGCGAATACTAATCCTCGCAGGAATAGGAAAAGCAGTTGAGTGCCGGAACGCGCGTGGGAGATCGGTGACGGGAGTAATCCTCGGAAGATCAGGAAACGTAGCCGGGAGCATATTCCTAGTAGGAATAGGAATAGTGGATATGGGCTCGAAGCACAATCCTACAAGGAATAGGAATGGCGCATGCAGGGCGCGAGACCTTAAACCTCGAGGCAAGAGGACATACACGCATGGGCAAAGGCGGTGCAACCCTAGTCCTCGAGGACTAGGGCGAGGCGTGAGGCGGCGCCCGGGTTTGAGGCGGCTAGGGCAAGAGGCGACCAACTTGGAGTGGGGAGCAAGTAAGAGGATTGGAGTGCAAGGCAAGGAAGATCAAGACTATTATAGTAGTATTAGGATTTTATTACCATGTTGCTTTTCATTGTAGAATTAGGAGATCTAATTACCTTAGGCTTAGATTTATTTTATGCACCTATAAATAGGGGTCTCCCCTCATTGTTTTGAGAAGTCTTGGATTTGATGAAATAGAAAAGAACGTTTGTTCGAAACCGTGTGTTAGGATTCGTGAGAGTTCGATCATGCAACCGAATTGGTGAGGCTAAGACCCAAGCCAGTTCAACGATTTAGAGAGGCTAAGACCCGATCTATTTCGAGAGTGTAGCGAGGCTAATACCCGAGTGAACTCAAGTATCGTGAGAGAGTTAGGCTAATAACCGAGTCGATCACACCTATCGTCGAGAGCAAGGCCGTGGCGAAGCCGTGATCGAGACAAGTCGAGGGAACGCAACACCCGATCCTGCATCAACGCCCAGCAGCGTGTCCCGTGAAGCACGTACGCACGCCAGCAGCGTACCACGCATGCTGGCCAGTCACCACGCACGCCAGCACGCCCAGCAGCGTGCCAGCGATACACAGCAGGCCTCGGCGTTGCCCGGCAGCACGCCCGAGCGCCCAGTCAGCCCAGCACGCATAGCCTGCGTGCCAGTCATCTACCCACGGCACCCAGCAACGCCCGGTAGTGCATGTGCGTGCCAGTACAGTTGCCAGCGTGCGCGGTAGTGGCCAGTTGAGCCCAGCAAGCGCCCAGTCGTCACTGGCCGTGCACAGCAGCACGCCAGCGACCGTCCCAGCGCACGCCCGGTGCCA